ATTAATGAACTAATGCTTTGGTTTTTCTGTCTGTTTTCCAGAACTTGTATGTTATACACATATTTCCTCCTTGTGACTTCTCACGTTGTCAATTACAAGTATGTGCCCCTGCTCTCTCACACAGTTTGATGGAAAACTCTATACCCCATGTATTAACTGTGATCACGACAGTGTAAGGAAGATGCATTTACTTTTTGCTTCTAATTTGCTAGGCTAGAGTTCACCTTACGAAAACACTGCAACACTGTGTAATATAATTGACTGTTGGTTTGAACCATGTAAGGAAATGTAAACTTCCTAGATGTGGTCGGTGTGACAACAGAAATCAGTGGTTGGAGAGTACGGGTGATATGTCTCAGAAATGATGTCGCTGGAGCAGATATATCCACACACTGTCCTCATTTTAGTTTTTGTACTGAACTTCAGTGTTGTCTCATTCCTTCTTGCTCCCTTTTGATGACTTTCTGCCACTTTTGACTGCTTTCACTTCTATTTATTTTTATTTTTTCCCACTTGATGTTGTGATTTAAGGTGTGGCAACTTGAGCAGCTAGCTATGTAGCAATATCAGGTCCTATGTTGAAGACAAGGCTTGTTGATGAGTGCCCAAATGTACAAAAACAAGGACCTCTAATCTACTGATTCCTAATGTCTGTTTTGTGTATTTGTGCTTTTGACATTGGTAGTGATTAGCTATCACCATCTCTGATGACCACTTACATGTACAGGTTTCACGCCATTTTGGATTTCAGCCATGATAAAACCTGATATTATTGACGGATAGTGGCTAGCACAGAAATCCATGATGCAGTTTCGTCCAATTCGGGACCCCTCAGTTGGATGTGACTGTCTCCAAGTGATTGATGTAGTTCCCAATAAGACTCTGTACAGGAACCCGTGTGCCAATAGTGGCCGATCATTTCGGTGCAATCGACGACATGGAGACACAAGCTATGTCATCAAAGACTATAATAAAACCTGTTCATACATTTTCTGCAGCAGAATGAAAGTTCAGCAGTATATTAGGAAAGTGATTGAAGGAAAATTCAAAAGAAAAAGAAGTGTTTGATCAAAAATCTTTGACGTCTGACTGATTATATACGCATGTATTTCTCCTCAAGTTGTTATCTGTTGTATCAGGCTCCTAAATTTGGTCACAGCCGTTATTTACCTGAATCTGTGGCTGCTATTGGCAACATTCGTTTGGAGTTGTAAAAGTGATAGCTTACGTATCCCTAAGTTTAATGTTATTTTCAAAAGATGAGATTACTGGAAAATTTGTTAGTGCAAGTGAATAATTTCGATGGTTAAGCTCACACTGTTATATTCAGCAGTTTCATGACAGATAAATGTAAAAAGTCACTGGATAGAAGTATCCTTACTCTAGTGATGAATTATACGCCTTTAACTGATTGCTTATTTCAGTTAATCAGCCAATGGACACAAGCATTCTGCTTTTCGGTCTCCCATACTGACCAGATTTTATTCAGCAAGTTTGTAGTATGTTAATTTATCCAGATGAACTGATTTCCTGTTTCTCTCTGTTTGGTTTTGAACGGTTAGAAGTAGACAGAAAAAATCGCTATTCGACCTACGTTTCGTACTCGTGTGTTTTCATCAATGAGACTTACCTATTTGTAACATAGAAGAAACTTGTCTTTCTTCTCTAATATATAACTAAATAAACTCTAAGTAAGGGATGCATTCAGAGATAATAAGGAGTTTGTTGACTGATATCTAATACCACTGGTAGATAAGTGTATTCCAGGCCTTTGAGGAGAAATATGGTCGTTATGGGGTATAGAAATTGAGTATCTATGACCTGTTTCCAAGCGGGAGGTCGCAAAAGCTAGTGCATAGATATTTGTACTGCACACTTAAAGTATGGTAGGAATTATAACCATACAGTAGAAGCTAGTTGCAATTGAAGTGACTCTAAAGACTCACTTGTCGACTACACCTGTCTTTTATGCACATCCGTACTTCAGTACAAGCTATTGAATTGTACACATCTGAACGCCAGTACTTTGGATTGATGGTTAGTTTTTTTCAAATTATAAAGATATATCTGGGTTTAATCAAGCTTCATGTTTAATTTTATTTAGCGTGTAATCGAAGCTCCCATCATCCTCATCATCATTACTATGATCAGCTGACATTACACTCATCTTATCTCTATGCTGTATAAAACTTGCCACGTCCTATGTGAACTATTTGGCTGTTTTATTAGCTTTGACATAGGCTTTTAATTAACATATTTTCTGCAGAATCCACGTTCATTACTCATGGTATGTGTTCAAAGCTTACTTAGTGAATGTTTTGGCGGAACACATTGGGTATTATGAGTTGATTTGACTTTAAACTAGTCAGTGCGGAAACTAACCGGATACGATAAATACATCTAGGCCTTTTTCTTCATGTTTAGCCACTCCACTTCTAGATCAGTCCGACAAATGACCTTTATTATTTGTCCGTAGTTAATTGCATTTCTGCTTTTAAAATGGCCTAAACCACCTAATACGAAAAATCTATGAAGAACAAAGACTTTTAGTCAGACCTATTGGAAATTTAGGGCTAACAAGTTTATTTTTATATAGCCTCTAAAGATATATTCAATTCGCATGTACTTGAACGCATTGAATGAATAAAGAGGAAGGTTTATGACTGTGTTTGCGCATGTTCCAGGGAATTGATGACTAAACTGTGCACAAATCTTCAGCAGTACAACTGATTGTACTGTGAACTGAATTTCAAAAATTTTAAGAAACAATTAACTACGTTGAATTCAAATGTGCTGCGTTTCACTGAAACGGTAGCTGCCAAGCGATTGAGATCAAACTTTTGTGTTGCAAAAGTTTAGGCAGCGTAATGAGAAGACAAAGATTATCTGAAACATGTGATGTATTAGCGCTACACATTTAGAACAATCTGATCACACATGCACTTGTCGAACTATTTATGTGAAGATTTACGCAAAGGGTCAATGAAGTTAATAGGAAACATAGGAATAGGAAGAGAGAGGAAAAGAAAAAAACGTTACTCTTGTTATGAAAATTAAAACCAATACTACCAAGGTAGGTTCAATGTGAGTACGAATTGTTTTTGTATACATAAAGGGGGTTTGAATTTAAGGATGGCAACAGCTTCAATAAATTTAAGCACTCGGCTCTGACCACTTTTATGTATGTAGTACTTTAAAGGCTGTTTTTATGTCTATCCGATGGTTAGTTTCTAGTATATGTTTAGCGATAGACGAGGATGGATGTTTGTCACTTGCACTTATCGGATCTGTTGAGGTCATTTGTTTTTGTAGCCACTTAGGTACATGTTCAACCTTCCTTAACTGCATATCACGATTACTCCTCCCTATATGTGTCCACACATACATGTAAATTGATAAACACAGTGGGATGTTGAAATAATGGAGAATATTTGTAGCTCAGGTGGATGGTCTTGGTTGTATTGTGTTCTCTGAGCTGGGTTGTTTAATCGTGAAGCTTTTATCGCCTTGCTAGACGACATCATCAGCACTAACTTCATACTGAAGCTGATCGCTTCAGGTTCATTTTGAAACAGTTCAGAGTGTTACTTCTACGTTCAGGTAGTTCTCACAACGATAAAGTTAAGCAGCTCAATAAAACACAGTATGCAAACTTCAGCAGTCATTTTGACTTTTTGCCTAAAATAACGTGAAAGTCACTCACATTCTTCAAGGTACATGAATCATTAAAGATTGTAGCCTGAGAGAACTTCCTCTACCTGACTTTTTGACAGAAAGCATTTTTCTGTTGGTGGAAGCTGTCTATTTAATGAGTCTTCTTCTTCTCACTCATCTTCAGTCACTTAATACTTTTTGTGTCGAAAATCAATTGACAGGAAGCTCTTGACGTAGGTTTTATGCCGTTTGCCACTCACTACCAAGGCATATTTGTAGCCATGATGGAATTGGTTTTTTGTAACCCATAAATACTTCGGTCTTACTTCCTCCTTTGTGAGGATGGTCTGCTTTGTTATTGACTAGTTCTTATTTTTGGATTTATTCACATGTGCAAACGAATTCTTCACAATTAATCAATCTGTTTACATTCAAACCAAGATCCTTTGCTTGACTGTATTACCAACCAATGTTCTGTTTTGATGTTAATTGTAAACCCAACCAACAATCTCTTCGATAGCTAACAGTCAAAAATGGTTTTCTGAATACTTTTGTGAAGCTTGTACTTATAATACTGTTTTAAGTGGTGTATTGAGCTTTTGAAATTCATAGGTGGGTTTAAATTAGCACCGTTCGTACTTTACAGTCACATGTGTGAAAAATGAATAGTTCCGACTCTCAAAAAGGGGAATCTACATTGTAGCAGGACTCGAACAAACAGCTGCTGATTTACCGGCTTGACACTGTATTGAGTAACTTATGTGATTCAACTGTGTGTCAGGTCTGAGTTTCACTTCAGTGTGAATTAAGTTGCACCAACTATATGTTTTATTCAATGTAAATTAGCGTTATTGTGATGAATACATTGCCTTACATTGAATGTGGAAGCTAGTTCTCCCAAACCATAACAGTTATTCAGTGAATTCCTTTTAATTCACCTTCACATTTGTTGTTAAATTATAGTCTCGGATTACCACTTCAGTGTACATATTACACCTGTTTATTTATATTTATTTCCAATTGACACACACTACATTAATAAAGATGTGTCTATAATACCTTGAATATTGATTAAGTAGCTTTAAAAGATAAAATCAATCATGATTGATTGGGCTTTGTTAACGTCTTTTCTCTCAATATATAAAAGCGTTGTAGTCTATATATTTTCAATATATACATATGTACACAATCAACGTTTTCTTGCAGTGTGGTGTACTAGAGCGAAGGAAAACACCAACCACAAAAGTACTCATACGGCTAGAACAACCGAACACAAAGTATTTTTTATGCGCTTGTAAATAATTTGTCGTAATTGCGTAGATTAAAATCAAATTTTAATTCAATAAATGAAACTGTTGTTGGTAAAATTAAGTATTAATATGCCTATAAAATTATGTTGTGTAGCTTGTGGTAGCTACCGTAATTAAAGGGGCACCTTCGGGTCTTGAAGTCATGTGCAAGATGAAATGACGATTTGAAAAATGCCTGAGTAAAAGAGGATAACTATGACAGCTGACTTATGATAGAACGGCAGCCTGGTAACATATCTGGGCTACTGAATTTTCTGCCTCGCATGTTGCATCAAATTCCTCCAACTTTTTCGGTTATTTTAATCATTTTGTATTCCCGATCTCATTATATATTCATGCACATTTCTGTCAGTGACCACTGTCGCGGTATGAGTGTGAGCAATGGTATTAGTTCCAAACGCGTTCTAATTTGAATCAGATAACACGAGTAGATATCACCTATGCTTTGCCATAGTTTCACAGGACTTACCCTAACCAACACACGACGACGACAAGTAAACCAAAAGACAAACGCCACAGGCTTCGAAAAGGTGTAGTTAATTAAGTTGAAATTCTAGGCACAAACTGCAGATCCTTGCCGGGAAAAGTGGTTACTCACGGTTACTTATCCTTCAAGGTTTACAATAATGTTAGAGTAATTAGATTATAAAAAACTTGGCTGCATGATACATGTGATGATAATTTAGTTTCTCTAAATGGTTTAAAAATATTCTTCTAAGACCAACGCAGCTCTAAAAAGAAATATAGAGGATGTATAGCTACCTTCATCAATACCCATTAGTGTATTTTGAGTTAAATATGCTTCAAATTCCCAAATGATTATAATATGGACCGTATCACAGTAAAGTGCTACCCAAAACGTTTAGACACGTATCGCGTTATTTGTATCACAAATATTTATGTGACGCCTGGTTGCAAATACTCAGAATTACCTAATCTCTCTGACTTACTTATTCATGGGATTTGCACCTCTTATAGGTTCAGTTTCAGGTTTAAGGATAGTAGGCCAAGTAACCTGTATTAATACTGATAGTAGAAATCGCCGTTAAGACCCAGTTTCTCCTTGAAAACGGCCATTGAAGGAGCAGCTACCACAAATTCCGGTAATAAGTTCCAGTCGCTGAATACCTTGTGACATGATCTGGGCTCCGCTAGTAGTTTATTCGACTGTGGCTTTTAAACTTTTTATCGCGACTTTTCAGATAATCAGTCCTAAAAAAAAATTAGAGATTGACACCCAAGGCATTATTCATGATATAAGATCCCCCCTTTACCTACGATATTATTAATGGGAAAAGATTAAGACTTTCCAACCACTTTTTATAGGGAAGATGAGAAAGTCCTATCACTAACTTTTTACCCACCCCTTTTACCTACTCTAGAGTGTCTGCTTCTTGTTTGAAGCAAGGACTAGCTGTCTGTGTGCAGTATTCTGGATAAGGTTTTATATAGTTAGGAAAAAGTATCCTAAATATTTCTTCATCAAAGCACTTAGAAAGCCCTACAGAGTGACCACAACATGCAGAATGCCTGGCTGGCTGCAGTCACGCTACAATGTGCTGTCGTTTTCAAGTTATGGGTAATAACAACCCCTAGATCTCTGTGTTTCTCAATGCAAGACAATAATATCCAATCTAATGAGTAAGGGCAGTTTGACTCTTGATCAGTGTGGATTACTGGACTTTTTCAAAGTTGATTTTCAAGCTTCAAGCTTTTGATCATTTATTCAACAAATCTAAGTCAGTTTGAGGTGCTTTCTATCGTCATTGTCATGAACCACTCTCCAAAAATTAGCGCCATTTGCAAGTAGCAAGGATGATGGCATAATCGTACCTGGTAATTCGCTACAACGGAGCAAGAACAAAAGAAGACCTAGTATAGTGCCCTTGGGAACCCCACTCGTTCCAGTTTCTAGTCAGATAATACTCCACTAACTCTGACCCACTTCTTCCTGTCATGCCATATATATAAACCCTGGTCTCGATTACTTAGTATTTTTTTAAATCTCTATATATCTTTAATCAGTTGGTGTACTGTATATTTAAAACTTAGCCTTTGCCTGGGACAGCCAACATATACAGCTGATTTATTTGCTCATGACAAACTGTGAGATTTTAGACTGTTTGCTAATCAGCAGCCCTGACATTTTGCGCATTGTATTCTGGAAATATCTTTGTTCCTACTTGTTAAAAAAAATCCTTTACAATGAGTTATTATCAAGTTTGATCAGGTCGATTTAATTCAACTGTTCAACTGTAGGTTTGCTTAAAATGGATGACCCAGTGACAAATAGCCATTCGAGGTAAGATAATCAACTTATGCTTTATGTATGCATAAGTAAGATTACTATTACTATTATTAAGAAAGTGAGCAAAACTTTTATCTTCTGTTGGTAAGATTATAAAAAGTGGGACGGTGTGTAAAATCGATGTGTGGATTGTGTATCGAGAAATTTGAATAGTATGTCAAGTTAGCAGTGTTCAGGCACAATTAGAAAAGAGAATATAACTCAGTGATTCATTTCTGTCACACAAAGTTCATCTTATTCAACCCACAGTTTTTTTAATTTATTATTAGAACATAAACATGGTACAGCAAGGGCATCAAGTAATGCTCCACGGAAAATAATATAACAACATTATGAAGACAAAGCGATGGGATGTGGATAGGTAAAAAAGAAAAACAATAAAAATAGAATGATTAGAAGGGTAGTTCAGTAGCACATTTCAAACAAAACACTCATTACTTTTCAGCAACAGAAGACAGAAGGAAGCAACAGCATGGCCGCTACTGGTTTCCATTCTTCGCCATATCTGACAATGTCTCAAGCCACCGAGTTGCATGATCTCTTGGACCCCAACCAAGGAATCGTTACGTGCCAACAGATGCTAACTCAATACAACTATCCTTCATCCCAAAGGGCCACGTCATCCTCTGACTACCCGCTTCTCCCATCCACTCCTGGGGCTAGCAAACAATGAACGGTATGGAAGTTGATTCGACGTACGTAGCATATGTTCAAGCCACGGGAGGCGTTGTTTCCTGATGACTTCTCCATCACGCCCAAACACACGCTATCGTAACTCAGAATTACTTACATAGTGTTGTCACCGCATACGAGCAATCCTACGGAGGAAACAGTTATTGAACAAACAGAGTCGTCACACATCCTCAGCTCGGAGAGGCCAGGTTTCACAGACGTAGAACAGAACTGGTTGCCCCAAGGCGTTGTAAACCCGACTTTTCACAGTCAGACTGACGTTGTAACGGCCCCAAAGGTGGCCCAGATGTCACTCAGCATGTCACTCACACAACTACCCAGACAGATGAACTTTTCGACTACTTCCAATGGCTCTCCGCCAACGGTGAGAGCATGCACAAGCTCCTGTCAATCTTGCAAAAGTACTTTGCACTTTAATGGTGCAAAGCACAAACCATTCTTGTGGATACTAGTCGCCAACCAATCAGGTGGGATTTGAGTAACTTGTATGTTATCGCACAATAAGACGGTATCGCCTGCATATTCAAGGTCGAATAGTCGTTCTCCGGGTAGTAGATCTACACCACCACCACCACCACACACACCCTTTGGAGCTATCTGAAGAATGTCATCGGTGGCAAAGTTAAAGAGGGATTGAGAAATTGGGAAACCCTACCTAGCCCCACTGCTGGTTTGGAACAATGAAGACAGGTGGTTGAATGCCGTCCCTCTACCTGAGGTTTTATTACTCAGGGCTTTTTAGGATGGTTTTAAATTTCTCAGGCACACCCCTCTGTAACAGACAGTTTCAGAGTACAGCTTTGTACACGGAACGGAAGGCAGTCCTAATGTCAAGAAACACAACGATTGTTGGCCTGCAATACCCGTGGCGATGTTCAGTCATCTCACGCAGATACATGATCAAGGCATCTACAACTTGAACGAAACCCGGCTTGATCCTCTTAAATAATTTTCTCATGTGTTTTGCAAAGTCTGAGAAGCACGGTAGTGGCCAATGTTTTCAACGCTACTGGGAATAGACTAATTAGCTGATGATTGTCAAATCCATCACGCAGATCCGTTTTTGAAGATGGGCACAACAACGGTTTAATTCCACAGTGATAGAATACTCTCAGTCTGCCATAATTTCTCAAACAATCTAGCCAGTTCCCTGACCAAAATTGTTCCTCCATACTTAAAAGGAGCCGGGAGTAAGTTACTTTGGCCGGGTGCCATGCGGTGTTTTAGGACTTGGAGTTCCGTATGAACCTATGCTTCGTTATGTGGTTCAATGTTAACTGACTATGGTGCATGGTCATAACACCAAAGCTGACAATGCTGGAGCCGTGGGCCAGCTAAACACACTGTCACCTAGCTTCTTTCTGCCAGTGGCTCGAATGAGTTTTAACAGCTTCCGACTACTGTTAGCTTCAGCTGCTACTTCTGTCTCATTCGGGCGTTCTGACCACCAAGCAGCACGGCCTCCGCGTAAGCGTTGTTTAGTCTTTTGCGTAAAAGGCTTATGCGAACCGTTGTACTCACTATCCGCCTGAATGGCCTGACAGGCATCAAAAAGTTTCAGAGAGCTCGCAGAGACCCAGTATTTGCTAGTGGACATTCTTCCAAGCCTCAAGCAGCTTCACTCACCATTTTCGTAGCGTCTCACAAGTGCAGCCAATTATCGTCTACACTTTCTGGAGGATTGGTAGCTAGCTTTAAGTCTAGCTCGGATTGGTATTTAGCTGCAGTGTTAGGTGTAACTAATTTGCTTGCATGGATCTGTTTAGGACGACGATTTTGATGACCACTAAAACGCAATACCAGATTAACGCACGTTAAAGCATGATCAGAGTCCAGACAATTACTCCATATGAAGCGACAGTCCTGTATGCACCGACGCCATTGGTAGCTGACTTCGATATGATCTATTTGAGTCAAAGCTTGAGCGATAGAGAGGATGCCAAGTAGCTCAACGACGATCGCTATGTCAAAAATTGGTTCTGGCTAGAAACAGGTTGTGACCTGCGCAAAGCTGCAGAAGACGAACCTTATAATACTACCGGCGGCCAACTAGTATCCATTAGCCACCTAAACGATTCTCCTCTGAGCCTACACTCCCGATCTACGTA